CCAGTACATGGCCTGAATAAGCTGCAGGTATACGCATCTCAGCCACATGCAATATAAATCCATAATATGTAAATACATAAATAACATAAAATAAATTGCAATCCTTATCAACACTACAATTATGAATCATAAAAGTATATAAACACAAAATAATTAACAGAAATTTATTTATTTATTTATCAAGATAAACCAACAGGACAAAATTATGACACATACATTTTTACACAATACAATAAGTAACATGCAGATAATTTGTCCTATTTATAGGTTTACACGACATGCATAGAAAAGTAACAACAACAGTAACAACAGTAGACAGAATATGTTTTTATCGTATTTTTTTTTGAATCCAAAACGTAAAATTTTAATTAAATTTAAACGATAGTCTCTCGTAGATATTTATATACGTATCTAGTAACACAGGACAATTTACAATTGAACATGTATATGTCACCCCTAAAAGGGTATCCTATCCATTAATTGTGCCTCATTTACGTGAAAGCACATTCCCTTTGGCAAGACTATAAATTGTTCCATTAACATTTAACAACTTAGATGGATAATAAACTATCAAACGATATTTTATTAACAAATAAACAACAACACAACATAAAAGCAAAGAAATACTTACTAGTTCAAAAATCTATATCTAAAGTAATGAAAATAATAAACAAAGACTTTAAGAAATAAAAAATAAATTTACTCCTAAAATATTTACATAGCAACTTTTACAAAAAGTAATAAATAAATGTGTACAATAGATCACCAGAAATAATCACAGAAATCAATTTTGTTTACACGGGAAAGCTCTTTTTCAAATTGTATGCTTCTATTTCAATATCCTGAGAGCTCAGATTGATCATCTTCCAGCCTCCCAGCGGGTAGACTCTGCTGCTGAATACCACATCCCCAATACCACAGAACAGTTCTATAGAACTCGAGTCGAGGAAGATTCTCCATGAAGTCTCATTATTGGGCTCCCACTCCACTTGCCGCACGTCCTCAGCTCCTCGGTCAACCGACACTTTTCCCACTAATGGATCCCAACTGAGCACCACATAACCACCACCATTCCTCCCTTCAAGTTTAATCTCCACTATCTCATCAAAATCAGCTTCAATATTAATTTCAACGGCCTGCTCAAAGTCTACCTCCTCATTATACTCCAAAACATTAAGAATCGGAACACTTTGTCTAATATCCGCCATTCCGTCCACTGGTTTCATAATTATTTTATTTCCGACTAATTTTAATTCTCTTGCAATAGTCATCATGCCAGCCCAGCCGTCGACATCCTCAGGATGAGGTACCTCCCACATACTGAACCAGGACATCAGGTATCTCTTCCCATCGACTTCAGTAGTTTGAGCGGCGTAGAAGTCATGACCAAAGTCGATTTCCTGAAAAGGTACTTCCTGAACGAACTCGAACGTATCGTAATCAAAGGTACCGATGATGTATCCATTTTGGAATGTGTTCTTGTATCGATCTCCTTGCGGCGACAATCCTTGTGGCGACATTAGAAGAATAAACTTTCCATCCAATTCGAAGAAATCAGGACACTCCCACATGTAACCCATATCTCCTTGTGATTCCGCTAGAACCTTTAAAAATTCCCATTCTTTTAAATCTGTCGATCTGTACAGGAGCACTCTGCCTCTAAGATCGGTAGTCTTACTGCCGAGGATGACATACCAATGGTCGCCGTGTCTCCACACTTTTGGATCGCGGAAGTCAGGCGAGCCGTTGGGAGCCGACGGTAGAACAGGATTGCCATTATATTTGTTAAAATTCACTCCGTCGTCACTGTAGGCCAAGTATTGCGTTTCATTATAGAAGGGTTCCCTGTCGGAGATGATGTGAGCCGTGTACATGAGCACCATTGTGTCTCCATCTTGCACCGCACTGCCGGAGAAGCACTGCTCTTCATCAGGCAGAAGCGCGGTCGGTAGCTGATGCCAGTTAACCAGATCCGGACTCTTCACGTGGCCCCAGTGCATTGGCCCCCAAACGCTGTCGTACGGGTAGAATTGATAGAAAAGATGGTACTCTCCGTTGTAGTACGAGAATCCATTAGGGTCGTTCATCCATCCGACAGGTGGTGCGACATGATAGTGAGGCCTCCACCTTTGATTAATGTCGGGTATTTTATTTTCAATGTATCGTTCCAGTTCAGCTTTAGGGTCCTCCTCGCGGATACATTTGGCGGCCACGCTCACCGCCAAGCAGATCAGTATCAAATTCCGTGAGAGAGTCATGGTCGATGTCGTTGTGTATGAATGGGTCTGACTGTAAGCCTCGTTTTATACAAACTTCCTTGCAAATCTTTATCGCCACAGATAACATTATCTCCTCGAGTGTTTTGTTTGGCGTCCACTCGACTTACTGATACATCATTTCTAGTGTAAATTGCATTTTTACACTATGCTTATTCAGGGGGTATTAGATAATCTTACAAATATCATAACTGTGAAAGTTTAGATGGATGGATAGATGTTTGTTAGAGTTTGTAGCCAAAACTGCTGAACGGATCTGGACGAAATTTGGCAAAGATATAGAAGATATTCTGTAAGCACACATAGGCTAATTACTTTTATTCTTTTTAATACCATGCAGACGAAGTTGAGGCCGAAAGTTAGTGTAACATAATAAATACTGAAATGTTAAAAAAATGAATAATGTTTAAAAAAATAGGTATTGAGATTTTGTTATACTTGTGTTTATCCAAAGGTGTATCGTTCGATTAATTCGTGGGAATTCAATTTCACTCGCTTCCCGTTACATCAAAAGTGAAATGTAAACTTTGGGGTTTGTTGTGAGGCTTGCGGGGGGGGGGGCGCTTGTTTTCGGAATAATTAATTCGCCCTTTAATTAATTGGTAAAGTAATTGTAATTTGTTATCTATTCTAAAGAGATAAATAATTCCATTCATCCATCAATCTTAATTGTCATTTGTCTATCTATAATTCTATTATTCTCATAAAGAGAATTTTTTTTTTATTGTAATGAATAGTCTCAAAAACTACTGGGCCGATTTTAAAAATTCTTTGACCGTTAAAAAGGTGTTTTTTCTGTGAGTAACATAGGCTATGTTTTTAATGTTTCCTTAATTTCACGCACACCGAGTCGTGGGCGGAAGTTAGTTACATTATAAATTTACATTGTGATTGTTTGTGGTATTTTTGTCTTTACGTTATTGTTAATGGTAACATGACATAAATAGTTTGTATGTATTATCTCTTCTACGGCTTACGTTAAATGTCTTTGTTCTAAAGCTGTCTCAAACCTAAGTCACTAACCATCGAACTTCACTGGGATTTCAAGACCTCTTGTAAAGTGACTTAACTTAGCCACAATTAAACAAAGTTCTAAACATCTTTTTGGCAGCAAACAATGCATTGTAGAATTTAATTGTCAGGTTTAATTTTGTCTTACTGCGTTGGCGCAGCGACCCAAAGTGGGTCTTGGCCTCCGACACGAGAGAGCGCCAGCGTCGTCTGTCGACAAACAAATATACTGTATTCTTAAAAGTTATTTGTTAATCTGTGCTATTTATCAATACTGTCTATCTTTATTTAAAACAACAATATTGTAGGGAAATATAAAGAAACGGAAGGAATAGTGGGGTAGTTTTAAAAATTATGGCAAGGAATGGCTCGGGCGCTCGGTCGCCAACAAGCTCAGTACTTTTCTAGTCGTCACCACGGAACGTTCGATATCTTTACGTTGTCGTCTTGGAGTTTAGTTTGTGTGTTTTAAAGTAATTTACAAACAAGAAAATCATTTGTGTCGAAATTTCTTACACAAAGCTTAGTTAATCGGAAGATCTTTCTGCTTGTATCCAATGACTGACTCTAGTGAGTGTTTAGATACCAAGTTGTACAATTATTTACTCATTAATTTCAATACAATTTAATACATTTAATTTAAGATTACGTAAAAAAGGATATGAGGAAATAATAATGAAGATATGCAATTAGTTCGTTGTAATTCCCAGCTGACCTTTAGCCAATCAAAGATTACTTGAGATTCGAGTACAAATATTTTTAACATCTATCAAAACATTTAATGATATCCGTAACATAGCGTCTTGATGACGTCAATAGTTTATCATACAAATGTTATAAATGCGAAATTCTAGATGGATGGATGTTTGTTAGAGTTTCCCGCCATACCAGCTGAACGGATCTCAAAGGAATTTGCCATAGAAAAGCACAATCTGGAAATACATATAAGCCACTTATTATCGTTTTTTTTATAAATCCACGCGGACAGTGTTGCGGGTAAAATTTATAATAAATTAACATTGTTACAGTCCTAATTGAACAGTTCCATTGTTCAATTAAAACTATCGGTTAGATCTCAACGTCTGTTGGGAGCAATAATTGAATTAATTCCCAGAACATTCAATATCCAAAACTATGTGTTTTCGATTCTTGAAAGTACTGTAAACCGAGTTATAACATTTAAAGAGAAAAACTTTAAAATGTCTAAAATATATTAACAATGTATAACCTTGGAATGTGATCGTGTAAGATAAAACTGTTTGGTGATTTTGCTATACTTTTTGAGTTTTCTTATCTTAAGATAAGTCATCTGCATGGTCTACTTAACTCATGTCATATCTTCAGAGATGTCTTGTGTAATCTCTTTGCATATCTCTATTGTAGGTGGTTCTTAAAAATTTTAAATCATTCAAATAAATACCAGATGTGAATGTTATATCTATTTTTAATTAAAGGATCGAAATTAAAATTTGAAACAACATTTTTTATACAAAAAGGTGGCAAACGAGCAAGTGACCACCTAAATCCGCCAAAATGCCGAAGCGACCGCTGCCCATAGACATCCTTAATTGCAGATGCGTTGCCTACCCTAAATTGACGGAGGAAGAGACGCACATGAAGAGGATATTTCCCTTTCCTATGCGTCTCCTCCACCGTCAAATCCACTTTCCCATCGCTCCCTTATAAGAAAAAGGTGGGACGGGAAAGGGACTAAAATTGGGCCTAAATTTGTTTAGATTAAAATTGTGGCAGTATGCTTTGACAGTAATTTAGAACTTGGATGGCATTACAATAGTTGCTTAAACAAGATCACGTAAAATGTTTGACAATTTATATATAATTAGTTACATCATCCATACTAATATTATAAAGAGGAAAGATATGTTTGAATTTTTGCATGTATTGAAATAACTCAAAAACTACTGAGCCGATTTTAAAAATTCTTTCACAGTTTAAAAGCGATGTTACCAGTAAGAAAAATGTTTTTTATTATTTTTTTAATTTCACGCGAAGTCTCGAGCAACAGCTAGTTGTTAATATTATCGAAACTTACATAATGGAATATTTCATAACGTTTTCTCCGTTCGTGAAAATAAGTGGAGTGTACTTCAGTTGTAACGATACTTAGGAGTATACGTAAGCGTTTTAAGTGGCTTCTGTACAAATAATCAGGGACTTATTATTATGAAAATATATTTTATGTAATTAGTATGACGTGGCTGCTTTTTATTATAATTATGTCGTTAGTTACACAATCAATAAGTATATTGGAAGAAGTTTGAGAGTAGCCCCAGTGGTAGAGAAGGTAAGGAATAAAGGTTAACATGATATGGGCATTTAATGACTCGCATGTTACAAGGAGAACGTTAGTTATGAGTGTGAAGGTACACCGGTAGAGATAGACCTAAAAAGAGATGGATCGATTGCGTGAAATGTGATATGGTCAAAAAGGGAGTGATGACTGAGATGACGTATGATAGTTATGTGGAGGACAAAACCCTATTGAGCCACTATGGCATTAGGATAAGGAAGATGGTGATGATTAGTTACATTATCATAGTTAGACATCAGAACTGAGTATTTAGTTAGCTTAACTAAATAACATAACGTTATTGACAAATATCTTATGACAAAGCATTTCAATAACACAATAAATTCAACCACAAAACTGAATAATGTCTCAGAGGGTATTGCCAACTTTTATATCCAATTATGAATAAAAAGGTAATCAAGGAATGGATCCCCTGAACACATTGGGGAGCAGGTATTCATAAAACATGTCATCTTCATAAAGGCCGACTTGATGACTTGTACAACAAAGCCAGTTACGGCTCAATAAAACTTGTGAGCCACAGTGTAGCGAACGCAGCAACTCAACTAATATTTCAAGTCTAAACTATTTAATTTCGATTTTATACAACTGTTTTTCAATCTTCATATAAAATAAATAGATTTTTAAATATAATAATAGAAACTAGATGTTAAGTTAATAGAGAATAATAAATGGAAGTTATTTAGTTAATTAGATACTGAATTATTTACCCTGCATGGTATTAAAACTCTAAATAGGTCTTTGAAGTAGTAAATCGAATATCCTCAAGTAGCCCTTGTTGAAATTCCTAACTTCCACTTGAATAAGCAAACTGAAATTAAGTTATTTTACTTTCTACTATAATTTTTTAATACAACATAAGGTGGTAAACGAGCAAGCAGCCACCTGAATCCGCCAAAATGGCGAAGCGACCGCTACCCATAGACATCCGCAGTTGCACATGCGTTGCCTACCTTTATCCGACGGAGGAGGAGACGCACATAAAGAGGATATTTCCCCTTCCTATGCATCTCCTCCACCGTCAAATCCACTTCCCCTTCCCATCCTCTCCTTATAAGAAAATGGGGGTAAAGAGAAATGGACTTAAATTAGGCCTCCGGCACCACACTCATCGGACCAAACACGGAATTGCTTCCATTTCACGCCAGTTTTCTGTGTGGTCGTGGTATTACACCGGGTGAACCGGTCCATTCGTGCTAAGATATTAAAGCGGGCTCTACCACTGTTAAATAATAATAAAAAATTGGAAACAAAAGAGTGCAGTATGTTTGACTAAACTGTTGCACAATTGTTGTGCGATTGTCGATTGTTTCGCAGCCAATTCAACTTTCAAAGGAATCAAATCGAGACTAAATAGTTGTTCGATTGTTTAGACAAAGGTGTTACAGTTAGTCTATACTACTCGTAATAGTATAAAGATTAATGATTTGTTATTTTTTGACCGACTTCCCAAAAGGAGGTACACAATTCGTCTGTATGTTTTTGTTGAAATAACTCGAAAACTACTGGGCCGATTTCAAAAATTCGTTCACCATTAAAAAGCTACGTTATCAGTGAGTAATATAGGCTATACTTTTTATCATTTTTTTGCGTGCGAAGTCGCGAGCAACAACTCGTAGATAATATAATTAGATACTGTAGGTCTGCGGATATCGTGAAGCTATTACAGAACTCATCACATCCTTGTTATGACGCAAGAGAAGTCTGCAGTCTGCAGTCTGCAGGGACGAACACCGATATAAAGTTTCCTTCATTTTTATTCGAGTGAAATAAAAATGTTAAGATTGTTCCCCAGTGTACAAAGCTAAATATTGGCGATGTAACTAAATTAAGTTTTGTTTTAATTCAAACATATAGTTAGTATAAGGTTAACTCACATTGCTCCACTCGCCGCTCACCTCGGGCGATCCAGCAAGATAAAGATAAAAATTATCGCAATTCTGTCTTATTCCCGCTCAATCGGTGCCTTCGAGGTGCCGGGGAATAAACGGCGCGGCGCGGCGATCTTGATTCAGAACGGTGCCGGATAGGCGTAGAGTGGAGTAAAGCGCGTTAACCTTTACTTGCCTTACATTTTTTATTGGTAAATTATTACTGTCACATTTTTTCCTAGAACCACTAGTATTCATGTTTACTATGGTTGGTTTAAATCAGTCAGTACACAAAGCGGTTTCATTACTATATAAAACTATACATCTTTCAGTGTAGCAAAACCTTATTTTCAAGAGCAAACTGAAATAGCACACTTTAAACTTGCTTTACGAGCTTCTCTCCTCAGCGCAACGACAACTGCACTTGCCTCTGTCTCTCGGACATCGTAAATTTTACCGGTGAACATAAAAGTATTAACTGCTTTATATTAGTAATTATTAAAGTCATATAAACAGTATAGTTGTAGTAATATATCAGCAACGATTGAAAATTACACAGTTTATCTATATTTGTCCCTACAAAGGTAAGGCCGATGAAAGTATGGATAGATTGAGTTAAGAAAGGTTAGGGTTTAACAGTGGTAGAGCCCGCTTTAACATCTTCGCATGAATGGGCCGGTTCGCCCAGTGTAATACGGCGGAGGCAATTCCGCATTTCGTCTGATGAGTATGGTGCCGGAGGCCTAATTTTAGCCCTTTTCCCTTTCCACCCTTTTCTTAAGAGGAAAGGATGGGAAGGAAAAGTGGATTTGACGGTGGAGGAGGATAGGAATGGGAAATGTCCTCTTTATGTGCGTCTCCTCTGTCAATTAAGGGTTGCAACGCATCTGCAAATGCGGATATTTATGGGCAGCGGTCGCTTTCCATTTCGGTGGATTCAGATGGCCGCTTGCTCGTTTGCCACCTATATTATAAAAAAGGGAGTGAATTCAGATGTGACGGCTGATAGAGATGTATCAGCCGTCATATCAGATGTATGAAGAATAGTAAATTAATAAATACTATGCCGGCTCTCTGTAAGGCTGCCTATGATCAAACATATAGTCTACATACTTGTTACTTCCGTACTTTGTACCTTGAATTTCGTTATTTTACATACATAATCTAATAGATGCAGGAAATCACTTAAATTTGTATTCAAAATTGTAATTTTAATCACAGTTTGGAAGATCTTTATGAATTACACAACTTTACATTAATTATGAAAATTGTTAGCTTTGGAATTGTTCTTCAGTTCAGTAACGAGTCCGTTTCCACGACTTTTAGCAGTTTCCAAGTCGTTACGTTTAAACAACTCCAGTTTCTGAACTCTCGTTAAATAAACATGGCTCCGGCAAATCTCAATCGGAAGCTGATTTTGTAATTGAAATGTTATGTGATCTAAAGTTTGAATGAATGCTTTAAGATCTCATGGATGGGTCAATAGTCTTTAAGTCGCATCGGTCGTCAGCCAACGCTCCAGGAGAAGCGGATGGCGGACCAATGAAAACGGATGCTTGTAGAGTAACAAATATTTTATAGGTATATTAGAGCATGGTTATTAAAATGTTGTCCGATTTATAAATGAACTTACAAATTGTTTAAGGTCATCATCGTAAATTCGAATCTTTAGATGGATGGATGTTATAACTTGTAGCCTAAACTGCTGAACGGATTATCAATGACATTTGGCATAGTTGTAGAGTCGCAGGCAAAAGCTAGTAGTACATAACATAAGAAACGTCATATACAGATTAAAGCAGTTCTTGACCCTCTTATCGGCTGCTGTGTCAAGTGACATAAATATATATGTCACCGTAGAGAATAAATAAAGTTTATCATAATAACGAAAAATAATTGTTGTGTATGGGACTAGTTTATCTATACTAATATAATAAAGCGTAAACACACACTACTTTGTGGCGTAAGATGTCAGCAATCACAGCATATTTTGGAATAATTCCTACTTCGATGAGAAGCCCTACACTTACGTCACGCTATAGGCTATATATTTTCACGCTCTTAAAGTTAGGGGGTAAATAAATTGGATAAAAACCCTTATGTGGGAAAGGGACCATAAGCTACAATTGCCAACATCAAGGAAGTAAGATTGCCATAGTTTGGCATCATGTCATGTCATTGACATTTGCAATTGATAATTTGACACATGTAAACAATAAAATAAAATTTTCATAAATTCATGTGGATGAAATCGCACGGGAACAGCTAGTAATAATATAATTACGGATTTCATAAACCGGGAGTAGCATAAACAATAAATTAAATTTATTAATATAATATCACATGAAACACTACATTTATTAAGCACTACTCTACTGTCCTTGTGAAGATTAACGCAATTTTAATTTTTTTAAATAGTTCACATTAGGATTGTAACCGAGGCCATTTTAACGCATGCGGATGCGGATGCGGATGCGGAGGCGAAGGACTTCACCTGTGCAGAAGCGGAGATTAATTAAAGCGGAAGGGGAGGTCAATAATAAAATGTGAATTGCGATTTTTTAAAGAAATAAAAACTAAAACTATGTAAATTCAAAATACAGATTGGTACATAATTACAAGATACAGTTTATAGCAAATGTAATGTATAAAAATTATAGTAAGTTGACCTAGCACGTCGAAGCGGGCTGCACAAATGATACCTAATCGTCCCATTCGCGTTAAAGACGTAAATTAACCTCCGTTAAACTCCTTATAAGACATAAGCAGAGTTAACATTTCTTGCGGAAGTTCCGCACTTGCGGATGCGGAAGCAAAGTTCCGTTACAACCCTGGTACAAGTACACAACGCGATCTGACGTCTCTACGCATGCGCAAATCATGAACATCAGTTCATAAAATTGTTAGTAAGTCTCTTTTACTACGATACTAACATACGTATAAGTTAGTAGAATATGTATAAAAACATTATACAGGGTGACTCTTAAAGAAGCGAAAAGTATGTTGCCCGACCCTCTATAGTTCTAAGTTATTTATTTTTTTGTAAAAATATAATGCTATACGAGTGAAGCCGCACGGTAATAGCAGGTTAAAATATTAATAACTTCTGTTGATAAGATGACATTATATCTTATGAATACTTTGCAGAATTTCTTACAGTAAGAGTTCTCAGTCGGTTACAAATTTACTGTGTTATAGTATTTTATTACGATGTCTATCAAGATTTTTCTAACTTTATTTGTAATATTTAGTTCCAAATCCATCCTAGGTAAGTTTTGTACAAACATGTAGGCGTTTCCTACATTTTATTAGTAATAGTTATATGATTTATTGGTTTTGTCTTATGTTCTGTGAACGCAGTATGTAATTGAGATGTTTTCTGGATTTACTAAGTCAAAGGACAATTTGTATCCATAATAGTGCATAACCTCAAACTGCAATAATTATTGTTAACAATCAAGTTATGTTAAATCCATATAAATCTTTTCTAATTTTCATAGAATCGAAAGAGTATCGCTACGACTATAGGTATATCTCTGATATTGATGGTTGGATAAAAATACATTTGTTTCCCGCAAAATGGCAGGACGCTCGCCTCCGTTGTCAATTAGAAGGTGAGTTGTTTATTCGTATAACATCACTTATATTCATGGATCTATAACATAACTTCTCATCATCATCATCATCAACTTATGGAGCGTCGGCACAGTATGTGCTGCTCTTCCAAACATCTCTATAACATCACTTCTATTCAGGGATAAATCGCATGTAACAAGAAGGATGTTAGTTGAGTATGGTACACCGGTAGAGGTAGACCTGGAAAGAGATGGATGGATTTCGTGAAAGGTGACATGACTAAGAAGGGAGTGATAACTGAGATGAAGGATGATAGTTATTTGGAGGACGAAAACCCGACGTGCCTATCTTACGGGAGTATAATAAGGTAGGGGAGATGATGAACTTCTTTTCTAACAACATTCTTCACAGTATAAGTGCGGTTAGGTTAAGTACACAGGTACTCTCACATAGCGCAAAAGGGTGGAAAGGAAAAGTGACCAAAATTAGTCCTCCGTCACCACACTTATCGGACGAAACGCGGAATTACTGCCACTTCACGCCTGTTTTCTGTATGGTCGTGGTATTACACCCGGCGAGCCGGCCCATTCGTCCGAAGATGTTAAAGGGGCTTTACCACTCTTGTTTTTAATACTTGTTTCTTATATGATCCATTCTATGGTTGTTTTGTCTATAGGCGCAGTGCTGGCGTCACCAGAAACTCCAGCGTTAGCGTTGATTTTAAAGTCAATGGCGGCAGAGCGTTTCCCGTGCGGCTTGTACACAGGAGTCCACGCGACATTCTCGCCAGGAGACTACTTCTCTGTCGAAGGTAACTTGTGACTTTATACAGGCTTACATTTCTAACTAACAGAGTCTAGTCAAATATTAGAATACTTGCGATGTTATCATTTTTATCATTCCAGGGACACCTATTGCAAGAATGCCGATAGAATGGGCCCCTAATGAACCGGACAACCACGAGGGCAAAGAAGAGTGTATAATCCTGCAAGGTAACGGCACTGCCGCTGATGTTGTATGCACGGACTTGTATCCCTACGTGTGCTACAGGAGGAGCCCAGTAACATTAAATGAATGTGGCAGCGTTGACCCGGGTAAGTAATCATTAAGTTCTGTGCAAACAATTTCTTACTTCAAAATTTTCTCAAAATTATACCGTAAAATATAAAAGGAGGTACGAAAATTTATGTTCCACGCAGACAGAGCCATGTGATAATCATCGTTAGTAAGCAACAAATAATGTTCCTTATGTGCGAACTTTAATCTATCGTACTTCGTTCTAATATTATAAATGCGAAAGTTTAGCGAACTTCGATGAAATTTGGTATAGATGTAGAGGATAGTCTGGAAGAGCACATAGGCTACTCGCTTTTGTTTCTTTTTTAATTACGCGCGGACTGAGTCGCGGGCCAAAGCTAGTAATGTTATAAAGAGGAAAGATTTCTATTTTCTATGTAATTCTATGTAATTCTTACACCATTAGAAAGGTAACTTAACAGTAATGTATGCTATACTTTATAACTCTACGCGACAAAGTCACAAGTAATAGCCAATCACTTTATAAATTATTTTTCAAGTAAATCGTGATCCTTGCAGAATACCATTACGATTCAAGAACTGGCTCCTGCTATAAGTTCCACGACGTGGGCAAGAGCTGGTCGCGCGCGTTCATGGCATGCGCGTCTGAGGGAGCCTACCTCGCTATCATCAATAGCAACGTGGAGGCGAACGCGCTTTCTGGGTTGTACGGCAAATATCCAGATTACCAAATCAGCGGGAAAGTAAAACACGCAGCACACATAGGTTTTCTCAGCTGGGGAGACATTGGCACTTGGACAACTATCCATGGTTTGTTTGAATTGTACTCGTACTTATTTCAGTCTTACATTAGTTGTCGTCCGCGACAGTTCGCCCGTTACCTCTTACATTCCGTGAGTTTTGTCCTAGGTGTTAAAATGCCGAACCAGTTTCGATTATTGTGACATGAAAAAGAAAGTAACTAAGACACAAAGACGCAGTTCAAAGAACAAGGCAGACCAATGGTTGTAGTAAGGAATCATTTTTTATTCCAAAGAGAGTGTTATCATTTTGTGGTCTAAATTTTCATTCTTTGACCAGTCTTTTGAGTATTACATGTTTCTCTAGGGATTGTATGCAACTGCTCTCTTCATTCACCCACTTCCCGGCGTCGCTTATGCAAAGGATATCGAAGGTTTACTAAATAAAAATCACTACGCATATCTATTGTATAATAAGACTTGTAATTTGTTTAGGACAATCTATCAAAGCAGCGGGCTACTCGAAGTTCGCAAAAGGTCAGCCGGACTCTCCGGATGTCACTCCATGCGGGGGAATGTTCAGGAACGGGGAACTGGACGACTTTTCATGCCAGGCCACGGGACCTTTCATTTGTGAGAAAACCCCAGACAGTCTGTATGAAAATGCAATCAGGCTGAACCATTTATAGTTTAAGAAAAAAATTACCTACTGCTGTGAATAAACGTATTGGGAAAATTATGTATTGTTTTATTATTTTTAAATATTAGAATCATAGGACGCCATCTACTTTCCGATACTTCCTTGTCGCATCTGCACAGATAAAATCAATGAAATAAATTAAACACTTTCTTGACACTCCTTACATGTTCTTTTTTATATTTCTTCACGCATTCTTAACTCACTCTAGGTAGACAGGAACAATCTCCCCGGGAGGCTACCCATAAAAAGGTTTTCGAAAAAAAGTTGTAGAATCAATGTTGTTTCGAGGTTACGAAAAATTTATAGCTCATCACGTGCTTAATCACGTGGGCGCCACATGCCTTGCGGTCGGCTGCGGTACATAAATAGCCCCCAGGTATTACTTCCCTGTAGACACATATGGATACTTTGCATTATTAACACGTTATTATAAATACAAATATTGACACTACTGCAACGTATATTCTGTTTTCGATGAATTTAAATTGAATTTATTTATATTATAAAAAAACTCCAATTCCATATTTTTTCTTTGTCGCACATGCACATGATATGATATATCCGTTTCTTTGCATCTTTGTGGTTACAGTAAAGTTACACTTCGGTTCCGTAAACAAGACTGTACGTACCTTTATATCTATATCTACGTAATCAGGCGGCGCGCCGGCAAAAAATTGTGATAAAATACAGTTTCATGTAAATTTGTAATCGCGTAAAAATCCAAATGACGCACAGCACTCAACGAATTATCGCATCCAGTCGGTCGACCTCACACCGACGGGTCAGCGTAAATTATTCTCAATCGCGTATCATAGAGAAGCGACAGTTCCCACAGCGAGAGCACTCGGTGCGATGTACACAACGCTCGTTTATTTTATTTTCTTGTCCGGAGTGACGTCATTCTCGACGACCCTCAACCTGAGCGATTTCTTCGCCGACCAGTCGCACAACTTCATAAACTTCCTCGAGGAGCGCGGCAACGAAATGGAGGAAGCATTCTCTTCGAGCTACGCGCGCGCAATGAAGATGAAGAACTCCTTCGACAGCTACGTGGAGGAGCAGCAGAACAAGATTAGCACCGAGATAAACAGCTACATAGAGAACGTAAAGGACCGCGGCCAACAGCTCGCGAACTCGTTCTCGTACGTGCAGACGCAGGATGCGGCGGACGCGCTACCCGCCCCCGACGCCGCGCTCACCGTGCCCGCGCGGATCGCACGCCTCGGGTACAATTGTGAAACGCACACCGTCATCTCTCAAGGATACGTCTTGAACTTGCACAGAATTCCCTACTCGAAAGGCGGCGGCAACATTTCGTCTAAAACAGTTTTGCTCCAGCACGGTCTCTTCGCCAGCTCCGCTGACTGGATACTCAACGGGCCGAACAAGGCGCTAGCATATGTGCTGGCCGACGCCGGCTACGACGTATGGATGGCAAACGTCAGAGGAAACGTGTATTCCGCGGAACATACCTCGCTCAAAAGAAATACCAAGTCGTATTGGAATTTTTCGTGGCATGACATCGCGCTATACGACGTCCCTGCAGTTATAGACTACATAATGAAACTAAAGGGGGAAGACACGCAGATTACATACATTGGCCACTCAATGGGCAGCACCATTCTGTTTGCAATGTTAACCCTGCGACCCGAGTACAACAGAGTGCTGACTGCGGGGTATGCTCTAGCGCCGGTCGCCTTCATGTCGGACATAAAGTCACCTATAAAGGCACTCGCGCCACTGGCGAGCAACGTGGCGCATATGGAGATGCTGTACGGTTCCCACGAATTTCTTCCAAAGAATTCAATGTTTGGAAAACTCGTAACTTCATGCAGTATCGAATACGCCGACCACAAACTGTGCAGGAACGCTGTCTTCCAAATTTGTGGCGAAAACGAGAAACAATACAACGAGACACTAATGCCGGTGTTTATGGCACACTTTGGTGCGGGAACATCTTGGAAGACGATTGTTCACTACGCCCAGGAAGTCGTAGCCAAAGGGAGGTTCCAATTCTTCGACCTCGGTCCATGGAACAATAAAAGGATTTATGGTGCGGAAACTCCTCCTGAATATGACTTGAGTAAAATAACGTTACCTATAAAATTATTCTGGGCTCAAAACGATTTATTATCTACGGAGATGGATGTGAAAAAACTGCAGGACCGGCTGCCGGCGACCACGGACGTCTACCTCGTGCCCGACCCAAAGTTCAACCACTTGGATTATCTGTGGGCGATCGACGCGCCATCTTTACTTAACAATGAGATTTTAACATCCCTGCAAAAATCTTTTAATAATTTTACAAACAATTAAGTTTTATATTCAATTAATTTATTTCTTAATTAGTGCGAGCAGAAACGCGCGGTTAGTATTGATTTTTTACTTTAAATAACTTATTATTTTAGTAGTTTGTAAAGTTCCACGTTAGTGTAATGAATTAAATTGTTATTTATTTACTTATTTTATACGCTAGTTCTATAGTAAATATGCAAATATCTGAATCAACAAAAAAAAAGCTTTTAGAACCGGTAAAAATGAATATCGATGGCAACATTACTCACCTTGAATTAATGGTTATTTTTTTATTCTGTAGTACAAAATGAATTTACATTATGTGCTTTATAAATTAGTTAGTTGTACATTACCCTTATTAGTTGTTGACCGACTTCCCAAAAGAAGGAGGTACTCAATTCGTCTGTATGTTTTTTTTTGTTGTGAAAATACGAAAGGATCTTGTGAGTCACCGTTAAATATCAATTAAATTGTTTTAATCTGTGTTAATTTTTCGAAGGTTAAATAAAACGAAACGTGAAAGGAGATAAAATACGTTTATTTCTTAAAATTTGTCAATAATATATCATAGACAGATAGATACCAGCGTATCATCTATACACCGAATGCGGTCCAACAAACAAACAAACTAAATGGTCACCGTGTCGCTGCGTCCGCGGGGCGGAAACCGACCTTGCGCCTTCGACACAAGTCGACATTGCCTTGCCACTGTCCCCGCCTCCGCCCCACGAACACAAACACTATACGGCATTTTCAATGCCACAATAAGCAACTACTGAAAATATATCGCCCGGACTCGAAACTTATCTAAACAAATTCTTTCAGCCGATACGTTTTGATATACACGCAAGCCTGTCTTTACACCATTGACGTCTTTGTGCGAAGCGCTTTGAAATAGAACATCAAAATAGCTTTTGAACATAATTTACTTTAAAACTTTTACTAAATATTAATATTTCGGTACCTATATTAAATATAGAAACTATACATTTTGGTATTTCAGTAGAACATTTGAAACAAATAATATTATACAAACTTTTAAATCGCTTCACACAAAAACTTATCACCCGTCAAAATCATGCATATTTCTACAAACGTATATATAATAATTTAAAGATATAAATAATTTTTAATCTGAGATTCATTGCCGGGGAATGTTTATAAGATATTTACAAATTATAGGATTGACACAAATACATTCGAAGGCAAAAAAATATTAAAATTAATCATTTAAATTTCTTTGTATATTTATATAGTGGAAACAACTTTATTAAAAAAGTCAATTCCTACTTTAAACAGATAATTTTTAAGTGTTTCCTTCACGTTATGTCATCCGCCATTTTGTGGCGGCCATCTTGGATATATGACAAGAACGCTAATGGAATTGAACCATACGCCAATATGGCTGAAGTAACATTTATTAATGAAAAGATATTTTATATATTACTAGCTTTCGCCCGCGACTCCGTCCGCGTGAATTTAAAAAAAATATACATAGCCTATGTTACTGACAACGTAGCTTTTAAATGGTGAAAGAATTGTTGAAATCGGTCAATTAGTTATTTCATTACAATCAAACAGTTTTCTCTTTACATTTGTATGATAAGATTTTGACGGAGATGTAAAGTGTAAGACAGATAACCTCTAAAGCCTCTCACTAGATAAAATTCACATATATTTTAAATGCTAAAATATATCTACGGTGCGGCACTGCTGTGCTTTTTACACTATCTATCTGAATTACATATACCTACGTTATTTTACTTTTACAATTATATTATCATATTATACTTCGTATTTATATTTTTACACCTAAACCAATGTTGTTAACAAAAAAAGACAATTCCGTCTATCCCTACATCACATATTACCGTTACAACTTGTAAATGTTACACAATATATAATTTCATCTTAATTTATATAATGTATTAAATTTTATTGCACATTATGGCGTTCACGATAATCCCAAACTTTTGGTAGGTTAGCTGAAATTTGATCGACAATTCTTAACATAAATAAAGCTTAATTATGAATTTATCAACTAGATTAAACATTTAAATGATAGAACCATTTATTTTAGCTTTGGAAGCAAAACATTTTGACGAAAATTTGGGTTATAATTCAGAGGAGATATAAAAGATAATGTCGGGACTCGGATATTACAGCAAAATAAATTTCAATATAACTTTTTGAGACATAACCAATATATTACACCGAATACTAAAAGGCTCTGATATAATAACTGAAAATATATATATATCTCGCAATTATTTCTCATAGAATTAACTTTTCCAAACAAAGTTTTGTTACTGCGAAATACCCAAAAGATTATTGAATTTTAAACAGAAAAATATATCATCTACATTATGTTCATACACCTGTCATTTTGAGCATTTAAAATATAACTACCTACCTAAACATTGCGAAAAACTAAAGGAACTTGTGTTGTACAGTCACGGCAAACCGCGGTGATACATTTTCAAAAATATCTCTTAGAAAATCAGCTAGCAGTGAATTAACAAAGGGTAATAATAAAAACCAATTAACATCAGTTATTTTCATCCAGACACATTTAGTAGCTGCGCCCTATTGTTTTTTTCACCGCCAAATTCCCCGACTGTACTTGCATGTAGACAACGGCCGCTCAGTAATACCATTAAGCATTTGTTAGTCTACCTACATTGTACGATGACACGCAAATATGGACCTTAGGGGTACACAAATAAGAACTATTTTTGTTCAAGCACGGTACTAAACTTGCGTCTAAATCTGCGAATTTAACCTATGGGGTAACGGATGTAGTTAGTTTACACTTATATTTCCATCTATCGATTATATAAGATATATTATGCTTATATATAAATATTTGTATATCATAGACTTAAAAAAGTTATGCGGTATGTCTCAAAATACATTGTTTCAATTTAACACCTTATTCGAGATTATTATTGTTTTTTTTTTTCTAATTAAAGTATACTTTACATGCCTTTATTTAAATATGAAAATTTTACATTCCAAAGAGTAAATGTATTGAAGATTTAGTTTAGCTAAGTTTCTACTTTTTTTTTCTATGATAGATTTTTCTATGACTGAAAATCAGTATTCCTAGAGCGAATAAATTTTACTACATTCTTAATGAATTTTGATAAAATAATATATATGTCTGCCTTTTCTATCTTTCGTGTATTGTTCGGAGACCGATAGGTTACTTTTCTGCAAATAAGCTCTTAAAGAAAATAAAATTTCTACCTACACTTTTAGAGCTCACGCTGGTCCTTCGAGTCCTGAGTTATATCCCCCGATAATTCCAAAAGAACTTTTTTTTAATTTCATAAAACAAGAAACGTACTATAGAATAATTCTCGTAAATTTTGTACACTGGATAAATCGTAATTTCAAAACTTTTCCTCAATATTTTCTCATTTGTCAAAAATCTAAATGTCATATTCCTAACAATGATAATGTCAAATTGACAAATCTGTCAAACTTGACATTAATTCATAAATGTCCAATAGATTTATTAGTTTCTTTGACGAAACAATTTTATTTTTGTGAAACAAATACCATTTGATATTTACCGTTTAATGTCTCGGAAGGTACAGTCAGCCTCAAAAGCGACCTAAAACATACAGAACGAACAGATCGCTAATCTTACACTAAGCGGGTACTGAATTGTACTTATATATGAACAAAAACTGCGTGGAATCAACAAAATCCACATCACACCGAACGAAGGAAACTCAATCCGATCATTTAGTGCATTTCGGCTAAATGTATTTGAAGCTGACTATATTTGACAATGTAAAACGTCCAACCGGGCCGAGTCGCGGCTCACACTATATACAAACTAAAAAAAAACCGACAGAAAAACGAGGAAATGCGCTACTGCATTGCTTAAACTTAAATGTACCACTCGTAACAACACTTTATTCTTAGCACTGTAAAGTTCAATATTCGCCGCTGTATTATTGCTTAGTGTTGGAGTCGCGTCGCCCGCGTCAGTACGCGCGCCGCTCCTCCATCTCCGACAGCTGCAACACCACAATTTATTTACTTTAAAGTTAGCAAACGAGCAGGCCATCTGAATCCGCCAAAATGAAGCGACCGCTGCCCATACACATTCGCAATAATGGATAAGTTGCCTAATCAACGGAAGAGGAAATGGATAAAAATGAGCATATTTTCCCTTACTTATGCTCGTCCTCCAGCGTCAAATCCACGTTCTCTTCATGGGAAGGGTACAAAGGGAAAAATATAGCCGTTGTTACTCAGCGATAACGTAGCTTTTGAATGGTGAAAGAATTTTTGAAATCGGCCCAGTAGTTTTTGAGTACTTGCAATACATACAAAAATCAAATAAATACAAATCTTGCTTCCTTATAATATTAGTATGGACTACTAGACTACTATCTTCGCACGAATGGGCCGGCTCGCCCGGTGTAATACCACGACCACACAGAAAACAGGCGTGAAGTGGAAGCAATTCCGCGTTTCGTCTGATGAGTGTGGTGCCGGAGGCCTAATTTTGGTCCCCTTCCCTTTCCTTTCCACCCTTTTCTTAAGAGGAAAGGATGGGAAGGAAAGGTGGATTTGACGATGGAGGAGATGCATAGGAAGGGGAAATGTCCTTTTTAAGTGCGTCTCCTCCTCCGTAAACTAAGGGTAGGCAACGCATCTGCAATTGCGGATGTTTATGGGCAGCGGTCGCTTTTCATTTCGGTGCATTCAGGTGACCGCTTGCTCGTTTGCCATCTTATATTATTAAAAAAACAAACAAATAACGCATAATTGGTAATATAAGCGAGTGGCCAATGATTAGCAGGCAGAGTAGTCAATAGGCAGATTCTAGGTGACAGAGTCTAGTGAATAGAGTAGTCAAAGGACAATACGCAGTGGGCAGAGTCCATTGGGTAGTGGTCAATAAGTAATGGTCAGTGGAAAGTGGGCAAGCCAAAAGTCAATATTTAGTGAGCAGTGGTGAACAGTCAATGAATATCCAGTATAGCAGTGTCTAATATACAGTCAGTGGCATGGTAAGTTGGCAGTAGTCAGTTGGCAGTGTGGGTAGTAGTTAGTAGGAAGTAGTCAGTGGGCAGTGTGGGCAGTGGGCAGTAGGCAGTGGGCAGAAGTCAGTAGGCAGTGGACAGTAGGCAGTGTGGGTAGTAGTTAGTAGGGAGTAGTCAGTGGGCAGTGTGGGCGGTGGGCAGTGGGCAGTGGGCAGTGGGCAGTGGGCAGTGTACGCACGTGGTGGTGCTTGGCGCGCTTGTGCGGGGGGTCGTCGGGCGCCTCCTCGATGACCAGCTCCCCGCCCAGCGCCGCGCAGCCCTCCTCCCCGCCGCCGTAGCTGCCGCTAAAACACATACATTTTACATTTATAGATTGCTTCAAATTCAAGTTACTTTTGTATAGAACTTGAATACAATATTTCGATACATGACAAGAAAACTCACTAATCTCACTCATCGATTCTAATTGTTTCTTGGTAGTTACATTTATTTTAGTATTTTATGTGGGGTTAAATCCGGCTACTCAGAATAAGCAACAAACGAACCTACTCCTTCGAGCCGGACTAAAGTGTATATATCGAGAGTGTAAAATATAGAGGAATAATTCCATCTTACATTACAAACGCGACAGTTTAGATGGATGAATGTTTGTAAGTCTGTAGCCTAAACTGTTTAACGGATCTCGATGAAATTTGTATACTTTTGTTTTAATTTCTTTAAATTCATGCGGGCGTAGTCGCACGTGAAAGCTATGCTATAATAGACAACTTTAGTGTGAGTTTAGTATATAAGCTGTAGGTACTGACGAGTAGTAGGGCGAGTGGTGCAGCAGCACGGCGGGCGGCGCCTCCTCCTCCTGCAGCGGCACCAGCCCGCCAGCGCCGCGCCCCACCACGTACTTCTCTGAGAACACACACTTTCTTAACATTCATATCTATACTATAATAAAGCTTAACAGAACACAATTCTTCGTTATACAAGATGTAGTCAATTACAGCATATTTTTGAATAGTTCTCTTTAAAAAAAAAACCCTATATTTATGACAAGCTAAAGGATTCATTCACGCTATTTAATTTGGAAAACGAATAAATTCAAACAAAAATCACGCAAGAAAGTAAGAAGAACTATGACAATAGCAGCAAAGAGGGAAGATTGCCATAGTAATGATCATTTAAGCATATGAATGTTGTCATTGCAAATAAAAGTTTTACGGAATACACACAATAAAAAAAATAATATGCGGATGAAGCCGCGCGGGAACAGCTAGTATACCGAGAATTGTCAATTTACGTCATTAAAGTCTCATGTAGAAACATATGAATGGATTGTTACCCTCTCTCTCACCACCAGCTCCGTTGGTGACGACCGTCATCACCAGCCCGCTGCCGCTGGCGCTGTACGACAGCCCGTGACCTGCACACATCGCACTTTACTAACAAATAGTTAACAGTGGTAGAGCCCGCTGTAACATCTTCGCACGAATGGGCCGGCTCGCCCCCAGTAATACCACGACCTCACAGAAAACAGGCGTCAAGTGGAAGCAATTCCGCGTTTCGTCCTGATGAGTGTGGTGCTGAAGGCCTAATTTTAGTCCCTTCCCTTTTCACCCTATTAAGAGGAAAGGATGGAAAAGAAAAGTGGATTTGACGCTGGAGGAGACGTATAGGAAGGGGAAATGTCCTCTTTATGTGCATTTTCTCCTCCGTCAACTAAAGGTAGAAAACGCGTCTGCAATTGCGGATGTCTATGAGCAGCGGTCGCTTCCCATTTCGGTGGATTCATGTGGCCGCTTGCTCGTTTGTCACCTTATGTTATTTAAAAAAATATAACAAACAGGTAAATATTCAGTCAAAATGTATTTAAACAATGCACATTTTACTTATCTTACAAATTCATAAATGTAAATGTTTGGATGTTTGTTAGAGTTTGTAGACTAAACTGGTGAACGGATCTGGACGAAATTCGGCATAGATGTAGAGGTTAGTCAGAAATAACACTTAGAATACTTTTGTTTTTCTAATTCCAAGCAGACGGAGTCGGAGGCCAAAGCTAGTCTATTTATTTGATTGTAATGAATAGATTCAAAAACGACTGGGCCGATTTTAATAATTGTTTCACCGTTAGAAAGGTAATTTATGTGTGACAAACATAGCCTACATTTTTTTCATTCCTGTTTATAATTTTTAAATTTCACGCGGACGAAGTCTGGTCTCAA